GCCCCAGGCCCCAAACCATTTTTGCTGCCCTCCGCTGGACTCTCCAATTTGTCCACATCCTTTCTATAGTGGAGGGCCCAAAACTGAACACAGTACCCCAGATGTGGCCTCACCAGTGCTGAATAGAGGGGAATAATCACTACCCTTGACCGGCTGGCAATGCTCCTACCAATGCAGCCCAGTATACCATTAGCTTTCTTGGCAACAAGGGCGCACTGTTGGCTCATATTCAGCTTGCTGTCCACTGTAACCCCCAGGTCCTTTTCTGCTGCTGCCCAGCCAGTCAGCCCCCAGCCTGTACTGGTGCATGGGATTGTTCTGTCTTAAGTGCAGGACTTTGCACTTGCCTGTGTTGAATCTCATGAGATTTCTTTTGGCCAATCCTCCAATCTGTCTAGGTCACTCTGAACCCTAGCCATGCCCTCCAGTGTTTCTACTACTCTACCCAGCTTGGCGTCATCTGCAAATTTCCTGAGGGTGCACTCTACCCCATCTTCCAGGTTGTTGATGAAGATATTGAACAAAGCTGGCCCCAGGACGGACCCCTGGGGCACTCTGCTTGATACCGGTTGCCAAGTAGACATCGAGTCATTGATCACTACCCTCTGAGCCCGATGCTGCAGCCAGTTTTCTATCTACCTTACAGTCCATTCAGCCAGCTTGTACTTCTTTAGCTTGCCTGCAAGAATATTGTAGGAGACTGTATCAAAAGCCTTGCTAAAATCAAGGTATACCACATCCACTGGTCTCCCCACATCCACAGAGCCAGTCATCTCATTATAGAGGGAAATCAGGCTGGTCAGGCATGACTTGCCCTTGGTGAATCTGTGCTGACTGTTCCTAATCACCTTCTTCTCCTCCAAGTGCTTAGAAATGGATTCCTTCAGGATCTGCTAGGTCACTCTCTCTGAAGAATCACCAATGATGCAAAGCAACTCAACTAACCTAGGGTTGTTTCAGCACCTAAGATGCCCCAGCAGTCATAGCAGCCTTAGGACTAAGTTGACTTGGATTAATATTATCATCAGGGATCCGGGTTTTCCATTTGCTGCAGAAATACATGGATTTTCTCCTTTAAAAAGAATATAATGGATTTCTCCTTTAAAGGAGAAAAATGCAGGAAACTGTGGGTTTCCCCTTGCAGGCTGGCAGAGTTCCATTCTGCAAGGGGCTGCTTGGAGTTGAGGGGAACAGGACGCAGGGGGTGTCACGTACATGTGCACACACACACATGCATGTGGCAGCCAGGCAGGGGTGGAGAGTAGTTTTCGCAGCTCACTCCAGATAAGTCCATGGGTCAGTGGGCAGGGAATGGTCACAAGCAATGCATTTTGTGGGGGGAGGGGGGAGGTGCCCACAGGCAATGCAGCAGGAGAGGTGGGAGAGCCAAGGTCATGCACTGGAGGAGCGTGGGGGGAGAAATGTGGCCCCCCACCCGAGATTTCTGTGCCCACAGGAGGGCATGAGGTTGAAATTAGGTTGGACCAGCTCTCAGCAGAAGCTGCCTCTGCAACCCATTAGGTGGGACCTGGTATGGGAGGGAGCACTGTGCTGCCATGACCACCAAAGTGCGGAGTTGTGGCCCTGCTGCTGCCAGGCGGGCAGGGGGCACCTCACCTTCATGGCCATGGCAGCGCTGTGCTCCTTCCTGTGCCACATCCTGCCCTCTGGGTTGTGGAGGAAGCTGCTGCCTGGAGCCGACCTGGCCTGGCTGCAGCCCCATACCTGCTGTGGGTGCAGAAAACTGAGGGGGCACATTTTCTGCCCCCCATGTTTCACACATCATCTGTACCACCCCTGCACTCCCATGTCACTTATACCCCTCTGCTCTCCCTCCACGTCACCTGTATCCACACACCCCCCCCACACACACACCCACCCTGTTCCCCTGGGGGGACTGGGGTGGGGGGCACCAGCAGGGCTGGTGGGGGCTGTGGGTCATAAATGAGTGGCACCAGCAAGATTCAGGGGGCTGTGACTTTGGAGTGAGGGGCAACAGCACGGGCAGGGGTAGGGCACCAGCATATTAGGGCAGCTCAGTGCCACAAAATGGTGGGGGGTAGGGTGGGGGGAGATGGAGACGGGGATGACACAGCTGCAGCTGAACCCGTGTGCTGGTGAGTGAAGGAGGCAGGCAGAGCTCTGATTTTCCATGATAAAAACAAAGTCAAACACCAAAATCTACAGGCATTTAGAATTTATTTTAATGATTAAGGTACTGGCAGGTTTCCAAACTGCTTTAAGATAATAAATATATCAGTAAAATAAATATTATAAATACATCAGTAAAATATTGTGTTCAGCTGATACCTATATATATATAGTGGCATTTAATTTTAATCATGGAAAAATGCAGATTTTGGGTTTTTGAGAACTTAGGATTTTTAAACCGAGAAAATCAAGATCCCCGATTATTATAGTGCAGTTTAACCACCTGCCACGACAAATGTAATTACTGTGGCACTGCCACCAGCTGAGCAGCACAACTGCCATCAGTTCTGGCTCTGCTTGCCCATATCTACCTTGTCTGCTTTGTCACTTTCTCTTCCTTTGTTCCCAGTCCCCTGGGGTTTCTGGGAGTTGCAGTTCAAACTAGTCAGCATGGTTCTGTAGAACTGCTCCCCTGTCATCAGACACTCATAGGCCATCATTTTTCTTATATTGCCTCTCTATAAATATCGATTAAGACCACAAATATGTTTTCGTTGGTCTGTAAGCGTGAAGTGAAATCAACGTTTAGTAATGTTTACCAATAAAAATTGAATCCTGCCAAGCCTAACTACAAAGGTGTATAGATAACTGGCTCAGTAACCACAAGCAAAGGGTAATTATTAACAAATTCACATCAGCATGGCAGGAGGTTTCAAGTGGAGTCCCACAGGGTCTGTCCTCAGCCCAGTGCTGTTTAAGGTGTTTATTAATTATTTGGATTGAGCAAGTCTGCAGATGACACAACACTAGGAAGGATTGTGAACACACTCTAGGATGCAAGCACAACTCAGAAGGATCTTGACAGACTGGGAAGTTGGGCTTGGATGTAGCAGGATGAAGACTGATGCAGATAAGAAGTGCAAGGTGCTACATCTCGGAAGGAATAATCAAACACCAACACAAAATAAGAGACACCTGGCTGGATGGCAGCTCTATGGAAAAGGACCGGGGAATCTTGGTAGATCACAGACTCTATGTGCGTCTGTGTTGTGATGCAGCTGCACAACAGACAAACGTGGTTTTGGGCTGCATCAGTAGAAGCATTAGGTGCAAGACATGGGAGGCAATAGTGCCCCTCTACTCAGCAATGGCTGGGCCTTATCTCCATGTGCATTTCTGGACGCTACATGCTAAAGAGGACGTGGAGAAATTAGAGGAGGTCCAGAGGCAGGCAAGCAAAAAGATAAAGGGCTTGAAAAGCAAGTCATACGAGGAGAGGCTGAAGGACCTAGGTATGTTCAGCTTGTGGAAAAGGACTTAAGAAGGGACATGACAGCAGTCTTCAAATACTTGAAGGGCTGCCTTAAAGAAGAAGAAAAGCACCTTTTCTCTCCTGCTGCAGAGAGGACACGGACACGGACCAATGGCTTGAAGTTGCAGCAAAGCAGGTTTAACCTGGATATCTGGAAAAACTTCTTCACCGTTAGAACAGGGTGGCAGTGGAATAGACTGTCTAGAGAAGCTGTGCTGTAGACTCTCATCACTGGAGGTGTTCAAAAGAGCTTGGACAGCCACTGGTTGGGGATGGTCTAGGCATAGCTCTGCCTATTTCCCACCATGGGTGTTTCCCATGCTTCTGGGCTTTGCTGGGTGCTCCCTGCCCCCACACCCTTTTCTGTTATACGTGTCAAGGGTGTTTTTAAGCCTCCCCAGAGGCACTGGATGTTAGCTACAGCTAAGGCTGGAGACTTCAACTGGGATGTGCCGATTCTCCTCATAGGAGCAAAGCCAGAGGTTCCTGGTTGGTCTTGCCCTTGGTTCAGGGTCAGACTGATTGCCATATCTGGGGTCAGGAAGGAATTTTACCCCTTTGGTCAGACTTATACAGACAGTGGGAGGTTTGCCTTCCTCTGCAGCAGGGTAGGGGGGTGGCCCTCTACTCAGGACCTCTTGAGCGTATATTGACATTTTATAGAAGCAGGACACTGGCTGCCGTGGTTCCCCTGCTTTACCTGTGGCAGGTTACAGTGCTAGGTCTATGTTGTATCAGGGTTGAGGGTAGGGTTTAGAGTCATGGTTGTATGAGATGGTTTGGATAGGAATGATCCTGCCTCAGGAAGGGGGCTGAACTAGATGACCTTCCGGAGGTCCCTTCCAGCCTTACTTCCTATGACTACCTATGAAAGTTTGTGGGCTGCTGCTCTACTCTGCCTAAGCTCCAGTAGTCTGTAACCACAGAACTTTCAAATATCATCTATTTGGTTACTTAAGAAGTTTAAATTTCTATCCCAGGCATTTGATCTGTGGTCACACGGGATTGTTATTTCTTTGTAGCTTAGCTTCAACACAGCATGATGGAAATAGCCCACTTGTCACAATCCTAAAGAAAATTTTCTGCCATATTTTTCTTCTGCACACCAGTTTGGAATGTGGAGGAAAAGCATGAGCATTTCAATATGGAAGACAAGAAAGGAAGACAGTATGCCAGGAACTTTGAAACCTGGATGGCCTGTTTCTGAAATAAGAATATCATGGGGGCATCCCCAAAAGTGCTTGAATTGCAGAGCTGATGAGCCCTTTCACAGTGAAAGCTTAGAAATTAATAACTATCATTTGTGTAGCAGCAGTGTTTTCTTCTCATCAACCACATTCAAAGCTACATTTTTTTCTACTTGTTACTTATACCCAAGTAAAATACTTGGTATACATGAACCCTGTTCATCGTCCATCTTTTATTAATGGTTCACTTCCAATTAAACACTCAAGATTTAATTTCCAGATTCCAGTACATGTTTCTGGAAACACTTATTTTACTGGAAGTAGTAAAGCAAAAAAAAAAAAAAAAAAAA